CCGCTGCCAACACCCGGGGCCCCGGTGCCCGTACCCGCGGCCACAGGGGCATATTACTCCCCATACGCCTTGTATGGACAGAGACTGACCACAGCCTCGGCCTTAGGATACCAGTAGAGACAAAGAGTTATACATTTATAAAGGAGATTTAGGCCCAATGACTTTTATATTGTACTTCATGCAGGGACTGGATCCATGTGGGGATCAGTGTATTTATTTGCGATAGCTTCAAGCTGACTAAAATAAAAAATAATATAACTTTAAAGACTCAATGTGCATTATTTTACACAGGAGGGAGTACTGAGTTGTGTTTACCTGATGTGCATCAAGCCTATTTTTGTGCACATTTAAGTGGGACCTTTGTATGGATTTTTCTCTTCATGATGAATCAAGTCTTGCAAAAGTTATTTTAATTCTGCCTCCCTCAGACGGGTTAGAGGGCCACCGGTGCTGAGTGATTTGACAGGATGATGGACGTGGAAAATCAATCAGAGCAGCTTCCTCAGAATTGTCATTGATTTATTTTGTGTGCAGCACAACGTTTCATGAAGCCCGTTTCTACCTGGATGGCATTTTTAAAACTCCAGATAGCTCTGACACTGTTCACAGAGGTCTATTTTTTAATTTTAGACAGGAAGATTTAAAAAAAAATACATGTACTATAACACACAGACTGAGCTTTCAGATAAGTCAAACCATCCACTTATTTTTATGTAGTTTTTCTTTCTTTTACTTTGGGGAATTAGTTTGGCTGTGCAATGAGATTGTAGGCTTGTGAGGGGTTTCTCTTGGTTTTTAAATTAAATAATAATTTATTTAATTGGTCCATATTTTGTTTGTGAGGCTGTAGCACACACAAATGCATATAAAGGTTATATATATTTAAATTTATTGAGGACAGTCATGGCAAAATCTAACTCATTTACTATTATTCATAACCCTAGTTTTGTCTTTTGTGGTTTGGTGTTACCACGAGGCTGAAAAACAAAGGGGTGTACAGATAAAGAACTCATTATAAAACTGCAAAAACTGTTGTATGTTTTTATATTTAATACAAGATAATAGTGAGGCTTTTGTAGGGGTGCATATTTTTGTTTTATTAACTTTACAGTGACAAGAAGCTGAAACGTCTTACAGGCCCTGGTGCCATAGCTACAGTATGTACAGTGTGTGTGAGTGTGTGTGTGTGTGTGTGTGTGTGTGTGTGTGTGTGTGTGTGTATGTTCAGATGCATTATCCCTGAGGCTCATCAAAACATGCTGAATCGTCTCAATCACGAGGTCGTGGATTATCGTTTCATTAACGAAGACAAACGAGCCACTGATATCAGTGAGGAGCTGGCTGAACAAAGATTTATGATGACACCAGATGTGGGACGTTTCCACAGCTTTTGTGATCGCTGTAATGAAGCCATGAAGCAGAGAGCATGAAATAAAGCGGGGCCTTACTATTTAATCAGCCCCTTTAAAACAAATCAACTAAATCAAGCCAACAGTGTTATTATCCATCCTCAGTAAATCAGGCTGTTCTCCAGCAATAAAATCACCATCATTAACGGTCAGATGTCACATTCATCAAACGCACCCATCCTTCATGCAGATGAGTCCTAAACATAGCTCGGTGCTAGATGGTAATAAAGCCCCTAACCCACAATTCAGCACTGCAACCAGTCAGCCATGAAGCCAGCGTAGATCATATGTGACGCATCTTTTTTCATTTACAGCAGCACATCAACGTGATGTGGACAAATGGAATTGAGATCTTTGTACATTAACTTCTTAACATTTTATTGATGTGTGACACTGCAGTGTGGACTCACACATCCTTCTCATGTATGAACAGATAAACCAGGCAATAAATTATTCAGCAGATTTGATTATATAGCATCACTTGCTGGATTATTTTTAATTTACGGACGACATAGAGTCTGTGCACAACAGCAGAGGATCTGTGCTTGTGACATGTGGACTAATTTGCTCAGAAATTAACATTTAATTAGCAGTTCTTGGATTTTATAGCATTAAGTTGTCCTCTAATTCTGTTTTTTTTTAATTTATTAAGAGTAAATTTTCAAGTCACTGATTTTAAAATTAATATAATTTGTTTCTTTTTTTTTTTTACAGGAAGTCCAACTAAAAATCTTTCCCAACAGAGACCTGAGAACAAACTACAAACACCAAAGTGACATAAGACAATCTTGTAAAATAGCTATTACACACAAAAGAGAGAAATTTAAACTATGTAAACTAAATAAATGTCAGTAAAGCCCAAAACCCCAAAAAACTTTTAAGAAGTGTTTATAACTTTCTATAATGTAGTTATCATTTATTTCTAATTGCTTGGAGATAGATTTTCGATAAGGGAATGACCTCTGATTTAGTCTGATTCATTCTATATCCAGAAATCTCTGAAAAAGTATCAACAACTAAACTTTTCTGCTGCTGCTTGGGGGCTGCTGGAAACCAACAAGACATCATCTGTGCACAAAAATAATTTGTGTTCTTGTTGGCCTAATAGGACATCTTTAACATTAGGATTTGTACATAATGAGATTACCAGTAGGTCTAAAATAATTGCAAGAATTTGCGGCGACCCTGCCACGTCCTAATTTGAAAGGAGGAGACATTATACTATCAGTCAATACAGTCACCAAATCAGAAGAAACAAATCAATAATGTAGCTGTAAGCAGATATTAAAGTTTATTAATGTAATTGTCTAGCCATACAGTAAGTGGAGGCTGATGTATAAACAGACAGTGAATGACAGTATAGGGAAATATGTCCTCATAGAAAACCTTTACATGATTACACACTGGAAAATGTGTTACATCTGCATATAACTTTATTGTGTATTATAAAACATTTATCTAATGTTTATTGACTGCTTATGAATGCTGCCTATGGGGGGTTAAAGTAAAGTTTTCTTAAGTTAAGATTTGTTGCCGTCATTCCAGCATTAAGGTGCATAGTACTGGAAACCATTTTTCCCCAGTTCAATGTCAGTATAAGTACGTATGTTAAAATCTGCTGTCAGTAATTTGAATTTAACCAAAGGATAAGAAAACGGTCTTAAAGATGTTGTCAAGTGCAAATACACTGCTGTGGTAAACAATATTAGGGCTGCAACTAACATTTATTTTCATTGTCGATTAATTTGTTGATTATTTTCTTTATTAATCAATTAGTTGTTTGGTCTTGTTTTGTCCATGGCCCAAAGATATTCAGTTTACTGTCACAGAGGAGTAAAGAAACCAGATAATATTCACATTTGAGAAGCTGGAATGAGAGAACTTGAACTTTTTTTGTCTCAAAAAATTACTTAAACCAGTTATCAAATTAGCTGGCAATTAATTTAACAGTCGAAAACTAATTAATTGTTGCAGCTCTACATAAGCCTACAGTACATGGGGGTTGATGTATAAACAGACAACAAATGAAAATAAATTGAGAAATTATAATTCTTGGCAAACACTGTACATTCATACACACTGGAATATGTGTCCTTACCTGCAATATGATGTGTTATACACCATTTGTAACATGTTTATAAACTTCTTATAAATGCTACACAGGGTGGTTTAAAGTAAAATGTCTGTAAAGTTAAGATGTGTTGCTATTATTGCAGCAGTAAGATGCATATATGCATAAGAACTTTTATTATAATCTACTGTTATTAGCTTTCAATTTAGTTTTTAAGATAAAAACATCCTTAAAGATGTTGTCAACTCACACAGCACACTCTTATAATTAACAAATTGTAGATGTGCTGCGGTGGTAAATGCTATCCAAAGAAAACTCAGCAGTAATACTGTGCAGTAGACTGTGTAATGTTTTTTTTTTTTAAGTTTTAAAAAGGAGAAACTAATCTACAGCACAAGAAGTTTTAGTTTACGTGCAAGTTGAGTTTTGTAGGATTTTTAACATATATTTTCTGTTAAGAGCTTGAGTTTAGAAAAAAATAATTTAATTACAGAGGTCTTGAGGTCATCGGGGGCAGCTGCTGCATCATATGGACAGAGGTAATTGGTACGTCTGTTTATTACATTAACCGCGCTTGACATATATCTATCCTACCATGTTAAAGTCTATCAATCTTTACGTAGTAACAGAGGATGTCTTTCCCACATGTTTGAACGTAAAGTACTGTCAGGACATGAGACAGTGGACGGCTTTGTGACTCCATGTTGAATCACGGTGACGCCCCCACCTGTTCCACTTTGAAGTGCAGCATGAGTAAGACTCATGGCCTTTCACCTGAGGGGGAACAGATCAGCTCAGGCAGACACATTCATGTTAAAAATGGTCACTTTCTCGCAGCTGCACGCCATGTGTTACACTGTCTGTTATGCTTGAAGGTGGTGGATATCATCACTGCCACGCTGAGCTGATGTTCCTCCTCACAATGCCCACAGCCACGTGCGGAAATTGGACTTTTTCAGAGACCGGTTCATGCATCAAATACATACATCAAGCAGTTTTCAAACACTTATTACACATGTTGTGGCCGGATAATGAATTTAACACCCTTTTGTCAGCAGTATTAATGATCCAATCAAGGGATTTCCCCGTTGTTACATAAACTTTTGCTGCTTTGAATAAATCTCCCTCAGTGCTTATGTACTCTGGAAAGGCAGGCGGATCTCTGTTTACAGAAGCAAGAGGGAAAAAAAACGACGACTTTTTGCACGTTCAATCAGCTGAGAAGTGTGTCTTCCATCATCCCAAGAAAACATGGTGGTTTATGTTTGCAGGAGAGAGGCTTTTGCTTCTCCAAACAAGCCCCATATTTATCATCACTCCATCATTTCCTCCCTCTGACAAGCAAAGTAAACGATAGGAATACAGAGTTAAAGCTGGATTTTACTGAGCCGTTGACCTTTGGAGCTTGTCTTCTTCTACTGAGGCATCATAAAATGAAGGAAGTGGTTCACTGAGATTATCCTAATGTGGTTGACTTGTGTGTGTGTGTGTGTGTGTGTGTGTGTATTCTGTGTACTCACAATAAAGCGTGTCTTTTTGAGTTACAAGCTGGCCGATGGGAAATGGAGAAAAGGGGAATTTTCCCTCGAAGAGAATCTGTCAACACACAAAGCAAAGGAAAGAGCAACAGTGAGTTAAACAGTGGGCCCTTGTCTTTCAGCACTCAACATGCCCTATAATTTACACACCACTGACAGGGGCCATTTTGAAGTCTGTCATAGGCGGAAAACTTTTTGTCTCCAAACGTCTTGCTCACAGTGAGTCGACTCCTGCTCGGGTCCGGGTGATTAATGACTTATGGCCTTATTGTGTGGAGGTGGCTAATTACCTACAGGCTGACTGAAGAGACACGCTATGAAAACCCTCCTCTGATAACCCCAGCTTTTTTTCCCCCGTCCTAGTCTTGGCATGTGGAAGCTCTTACTGACAAATTTGCAAGAAGCAGGCTAACGTTGAGTAAGATGAATGGCCTCTGAGAACAGTAAACAGCCTTTAATTTAACAGTGTTTAAATGTATGACACACTGGCATTGTGCTTCCATGCTGTTCGTGCTCTCTGGTTGGGAAACGGAGCCAAAGTTCCCCCGCTGTTGGTTTAAAATTAGGCTTGGCATATTCATGGAGGGAGTTTCTGGATGCTCGGGCTGGCAAACATGTGTTCATTGCCTCTTTAAGTTTTCTGCAGTCCCGTCAGGCTGACATCCTGAGACAAAGATAATCAGTTTCTTTAGAAAACGGCTCTTACAGGAACAGTGTGTAAGATTTAGGGGGATTAAGTGGCATCTAACGGTGAGGACTGCAGATTGCAACCAGCTGAAACTCATCCCAGTTAAAATTCCTCCTCTGTTAACTTAAGATCCAAAAGGTTTTTACAGGGAGCCGCATTATCCACAGATCTCTTCCTCTCCAAAACAAACAGACCAGGTAATTAAAACCAGTGAAAACACTGCATAAAGCAGTTTTACGTTACAAATCAGTGTTTCTCCGACACTGCTCAGCTTATTGCAGATGGCCCACTAGTCCAGCACCGTCTAGCGTGTGCTCACCATTTCCTCATCGAGATGTCCAGGAGGTTTTTACCAGAGCCGAATTATCTGCAGAGGTCTCTTCCTCTCCAAAACAAACTCACCTAGTGATTTAAATGGGTAAAAACACTGAATAAAGCAGTTTCACGCAAACCTAATGATTTCTCCGCTGCTGTTTGGCTCATTGGCAATTAGCACCCGCTTATGTGTGTTCACCTTTTCCTCATCCAGATGTCCAGGAGGTTTTTACCAGAGCCAAATTATTCGCAATGGTCTCTTTCCTCCAAAACAATCAGACTAGGTGATTAAAACCAGTAAAAACACGGAATGAATCAGTTTAACATCCCTAAACAGTGTTTATCCAGATGCTGTTCAGCTAGTCGGAAACAGGCCGCTATCTTAGCACCTGCTAATGTGTGCTAACCTTTTTCCTGACCCAAACATTCAGGAGGGTTTTAGTGGGAGCCCAATTATCCACAGTTGTCTCCTCTCCAAAACAAACTCACCCAGTGATTTAAACTGGTAAAAACAGTGAATAAAGCAGTTTCACACACAACTCAGGGTTTCTCCGTTGCTGTTTGGTTCATCGAAGTAGGGCTGCTACCAAAGGACCAGCTAATGTGTGCTCAACTTTTGTCTCTGATAACTTAAAATCCAGACATTCAAGAGATTTTTACCGGAAGATGAATTATCCACAGGTAATTTAAAAGGATAAATACAGTGAATAAAGCGATAAAAGTGTGAAGGGCTAGAGTCAATGTTTTGGTTGTCCATTCTGGGCTACTATGGAACAATTTGGCGGACTCCATGGAAAAGGACCCGCTTCATATATAGATATAAACGACTCATTCTAAGGTAACGAAAACACAATAATTCTTATTTTCAGATGATTAGACACTAAGGAAAACATACTTATTGTATTCCATTTCTGCAAATATATCCCCCTAAACCCTACACACTGGACCTTTAAATGCACAGAGAGAATATCTGATACAGTCATAAACAAATACAATTCTTTTGTGGAGCCAGCAGAGGAAGAAGACAAAGAAAATGCTGCACTTTAAGTAACAACAAGCCAAAGCCACATAAGCTCTTCTTTAAGGTCAGTGGCTCGTTGCACCAGACACACCACTGGCCAGAAATTGTGCAGCCATCCCCTCCACTTTATCTCACCCTCCCAATTATTAGGTTTGTTAACATACTGTATTGCCGTGTTTGCAGTCATGTCGACAGGCTAACTTAATCAAGTTACTATCGAACTTGTGTGCCTTGCCCAGCGCGACAGTTTTAGTGCCAGAATTATTGCCTTGACCTATGAGAGGAAATTAGCTGTGGACACAACTTGGGGACTTTTCTGCCTGGTGAGAAAAAAAAAACATATTTACCAGAACAGTGACAATGATGGAAAATAGCAGGGAACAAAAATGTTCCTTCAATAAGGTTGCAAATGAAAAATGCCACGTGGACCCAAAGTGGTGCAAAATGCATAATGCCAGCTGGCAGACCATTACAGGTGATGGACATTTCACTTACCTAAGTCAAATATAACAGACTGCTGTTCATTAATATACAGGAGGGCCTGCAGAATCGAGCCTGCCATCTGGTTAAATCGACAGAGTAATCTACAGCTCGTGATTAGGGCTGAGGAGCAGAGTTTCTCTTTAATCTCTCTCAGCTTTCAAAAAAAAAAATTCCATCTGCACCATGTGGCACATCATTTTTCTTTAAGACAAATGGACTGTTTTTGTATGATCCAAAATTAGATCAGCAGAAAACAATCAATCTTGTTACAGGCCTGGGAAAAGAATTGAGATTTGGATTCTGTTTTCCCTCCACTTGTCTTAAGCGTCTCACCTCTCACTTCTCATTGCATGACTGGCTTTGCAGCCATCAGCATTCTTCCCATGATGCTCTCTGCCATCACATGGTGTATACCGGCCCCTGGACTAATGATGAATATGAAAATGTGCCTTAATATAGTGATTTCCCCTTCAGCTTTGTTCCCTGTGGCGCTCCACAACAGATGGTGACCTGTGAGAATCTGTGACACCAGAACCAAAATCCACACTGAGGCAAAGAGGAAGACAAAATACTTCAAGTCATCCTGTCTGCAAATTAGTGAGATGACACAACTGTCAGGTGCCAGCCTCCTGTGACAGTTGCCCCCCTCCCCATTACAGGAGCAGCGATGCTTTCACTGCACGACAAAAGGGAAATGGGTGCATGTTTTTTTATAGGAGACCTGTCTGTCAGCTGGCTCTCAAGTCATAACAAATCACCAGCACTCAGCTGAGGCTGAACATTCAGGGCGTCAGGAGGAAGACGGATGACCTGCAGGCCTTTGAAGTGCTCTGGCAGTTCAGATGGCTCAGCGGCGCTGACAGAGAAATATACACAACAGAGCAACCAATAATGAGAACATTAAACATTCCAGCCACCTGACAGGCTGACAAAAACAGCCTGGCCTCACATCAATCATCTGCTGAGACATAACCTTGACAATTAGTCCCCTCTGATACTCCCCATAACCCCTGGGCCTGCACTGCAGTGTGACTCCACTTAAGCAACAGAAAACCAAAGAGCTTAATCTAATTCCTTAATTCTGATTGATAAAGACATAGTAGTGACAGAGACCGCAATATATTGGTTCAACAAATGATGGATTCGGAATCAGTTGGCAAGCTCTTTGTAGAGTAATGACTCTCCAAGGACAGATGTGAAAATAGAAAAATGCGCATACTGTGGTTCAATTATTTTCCTGGCTGCCTCTGAAGATGTTTCGGCTAAGAACACAAAAATGCATCCAGCATATGTTTATGGCTCTGCCTGCTCAAATATGTGTTTTAATGACGCCCCACAGGCATTTGGAAGCTATATAAATACTTGTAGCAGAGCCAACAGTTAAGTTTCAATATAAGGCATAGATCAGCATAAAACATGAAGAGTTCTTTAATGTGGGCCTAACGAGGTTACATATCTTACATCTGTATCTGTGTAAACATGTGCTAAATGTCAAGTCCGCTATTAAAAAGCTCTATAAATTCTGCTCACTAAAAGACTTAATATCATTAATGTTCTAAAAAAAATAACTCTAGTCCTTTCTCTTTTCAGCAAACTCCTCATTAGCCACGTACAGAGTACTTTTAGTCTCGCCCACACTCCACAATCCAAATCCAGACCCTCCAAAAAAAAGCAAGGGGCCATGTTGTCATCACTCTATTCACTCTAACTATGTAGTTACCATATGACAAATGAACCATGTGAAATGACATTTCCCTTTTGCCTTCACACCTGTAGAGAAAAAGCAAAGCATCCGACAGATGGATGGATGGCAGAACCTCAAAACTACTGTATCTCTCTCTCATTTGGCGAAATGGAAAGAGCAGGGCCAGCGACTGTTTACAAAAACTACCTGAGACGAGCCGCGGAGTTCCAAGCCCTGAGGATGATAAATGGCTTCGCTAACCCTGTGGGACTGCAGACCCAAATGAGGACGGAGCTAATTGCCGTGCGAAATACTTTGGCATGAATGGAAAGAAAACGCAGGAGAGCCGCAGCCAAAAAAGGGCCCAGTTGCTGCTCTGAACTCCAAGTTGGCTTTTGCTTACAAGAGTTCACTCGGTGTCCATAAATCATGGACGGCTTACAGCTGAAACTGCCCTTAGTCATCAACATGCAATAGACTGAGTGACAGATTCCATCCTGACTACATTAGCCCCCAGTTCAAACGAGGCTCCTTTTTTTAAACTCTCCTACCATCTTGAAGCTCACAGGAAATGAAAACCAGATGGCTGCAGATCGCTGTGTATAACATAAAGCTGAGCTCATATGGGAGAAAAGACGCAAAAGGGTAAAAAAAAAAAAAAAAAGTATATACATTGTTGAAGGAAATGACAGGGGTCAATTTGAGGTATCCTGGGTTTTTGATATCCTTCAGATACTGCTTCAGATATGACTTTATCCTGAGGCTATGGTCTGCAGCACATTACTCATTTTCAACTGACAGCAGACCTGAAATGTGGTTTCAGTCTGTGTTACTCCCACACAGGTGACACAAGTGCAAACTCCACGA